TATCGCGATCCTAAGTCATTAGTCAATGGTGGATACATATCCCCGTGTTAAGTCAATGCATCCTTGATGGAATCTCAAGTTGATGTAGACTGTATTTTTGCATGCACGCGGTGCTAGTGAATTGCGTAATAGTTTAATGTGGTTTCTCCCCAGGTATCACTTAAAGAACAATAAGCCATACAGTGCAAATTACATACTCGTGTGTTTCCAACAAAATAGCCTATCCAAGCGCACATACACTCATATACTTCTTTTGAAAGATGCCACGATTAATTGCAAACTCCTGCCGTGCACTAGCAACGAGCAGACGCAGTTGATACACGCAAGCAGCAGACAAGGTTGCCACAATGCAATTAACGCTTGGATTAACTGCTTTTGTTGAAAACGTGTGAGCATGTAATTTGCGACGCATGGGCTCATTGTTCTTTTTTATGTTACCTTGGGGGAAAGCTTGTAAAATATTACGCAATGTACTTGCGCCGCGGGCAGTTAAAAACCGCAGTCCTAGTCTCAACAATTCGATTCATGTGGAATAGAATCATGTAGAATGGTTAGAATCAATTTTCAAGAGTAAAGATTGGGGTTCTTAAACAGGGCATTGGGTTTGCTTTTTAGAACCTTTTGTTGGCTCTATATAGCATATAGGCCTAGACGCAATTTGTGTCATAATTATTTAGACGTGCGGATTTAGATTAATGTGTACAATGTTTTCCAAATCCAGGTAATTACCCCGATGTGAATACTCGCTGTTCAAAAACAGTAACAGCTAAAATTGCTCTGATATAGATTTGTAGACAACCAGTCACATATCCATATTCAATGTTTTTGCAATCCCATTTTGCACATTATTCAAATTATCTAACACTTTCTTAGATAGCTTGAAAGTAGCCAATCAACTATGTTGATGGTTTTCGAAAATATTAGATTGATCAGGCCACAATAATTAAATTGCTTTACAGAACTTTATTTTTGTGAAATTTTTTATGTACTAAGAATCAGAGTGACTTAATATTATACATATGGCCTAGACTAGGCATAGTGCTTTTTGAAGATATGCCTACATGTGTCTATCTAGGCCTACACTAATTTCCTTCAAAATACTACTGTAGTAGTCGATATTTGCTAAAATCGTGGTTTACTTTTGCCTACAATAGGCAATCCGAAAACATCCTTTGTGAAACATTTGATCTTTACCTTGTCAGCTCCTTGCCGATCTTGCATTTCTAGAGTAAGATCGATAAAAAGTTCCAGATATGTCCGCTAAACAGACACTTTTCTTTACAGGCCTTACCTTACATTGCTTTACTTGGAAACCATTTCCATTTGGAATTTTGTATGCAACTGAATGCAATCTGGCAAAGGAAAGGGTACCTAATAAGGTGCAGAGATATATATCACTGTCATCATTATAGAAAAGTTAATTTGTTTTTGGTAAGAGGTAAAGAAATCACTTTTAGTCTATTTCACGTATGCTAAAAAACATTTAAATCCAACTAATGGTGTTACACTAATAGCATTTGCATTCCTAACTATTTCATTTCTATTATTAGTAAATGGGTGATAATGTCACACTGGTAGTCATGTCGATGCCAACTAAAAAATGGGGTGTCGACTTTTGGCTTGCAACCGAAGATACCTCAAGAAAAGCTGTAGATTGCCGAAGACTTTCTTTGCAAACGAAGTTGGCCGAGGATACCACGAATGTGAAGAGGACGTCAAAACGAGAGGCTCGGCATTCTCCGTCAGATTGAATAGGCAAAATTTGGAAGGTTGTATGGCTTACCTTCGGCTGCATGGCCCAACCTCGATTAAATGGAAAAGATGCTGTCCCCTAAAAAATGGCAATTCCACGGAACAGCAAATCCCAACGAAAAAAAGCATTCCTAAAGCAGAGTTTCATGAATCTGCATTATATCGCATTATAACATACCTATGATGATGTATAGTGCAAAGTGTACACAAGACAGCGGGCCAATATAAGTTTTGAAAAGCCCGCGCCCGCTAACTTTCTGATTGGTCAAGGCACTGACGTCATAACCAATCAATCGAAGATAAAACTGCGCGAGCAATTTTTCTAAACTCATTTCAATCATTTTCAAACCATTTGTTTGTCAATTCTATAAGAAAATGGTGCTCTCTGACCAGTCTACATCATCATAGATATGTTATAAATCGTTTATGTCACTATCGTGGCACATATGCCCTCGGTTCTCAGAGATCAATGTCCCTCCCAAGGTCGGGCCACATATCACTGAGACCTCGGGCATATATGCCACGATAATGACATAACCTCTAAATATAATATTAATCTAAATATATGCATAGAAATGCATACATTAGAGATATGTCAAAAGTCAAGCCAGATTGGTCAAAGGTTCGGTACAATTTGCATTCCAGGGGCGTAGCCAGAAAATGGCAAGCAATGGCATTCTCAAAATTCATTTCGTTCGTTGCGTACCCTCACGACCGAGGTAAGGCAAAGGAGGTACGGATTTCACTGGACGAAAGGCTCGGAGACTGAAGCAAGGGGTTACACGGGGGGTTGCATCCCCGGAATTTTTTTAAATTACATCGTATATGGTGCATTCTAAGCATTTCAACATGTTAATGTTTTTTCAACAAATACAAAATTACTTTCTTCCTTCCTGGCTTCGCTGAATGCATTCGTTTTACTCCATATATTAAAATAGCTTCGTCTGCGTTAAATGTAATTCCTGCACCAGTGTTAAGTCTTCCGAGGCACGAATCAGAAAAATGATATGCTACCCTAAAAATAAATCACTGAGGTCAAATACTATCGACCAATTATTAAGCCAATTTACTGTTCATTACTGAACAACAATGAACGACCTTCGATGAATAACTTCACTGTCCAAGCCAAGTGATTCATCTTCAGCTGGTTGAATAGTTTCAGCTTGGACGGTTCATAATTGATGCAGTGTAATCCCACGCGTTCATTATTAGACGAGAAACCTCAATTTCTATTTCATTTTGATTTAGCTCATGGATGTATTTTATATCTCCATATCATGCGGATACTAAATGTTTTGTATGGAGATGTAATTTGAGGACTATATTTAGGAGTTGATATGCTGCAAAAAATACCTAAGACACTTTCATGGCATCTGGGTACATTTACAGTGCGTGCACATTGCACACCAAGTGATATATCACCAAGCAACAGTAGTAGTAACATGTTACTAAGTTAAAGCGTAAAATGCCATATGCAGCTTTAAATGGACCTGAACAGAATTTGTTTTTTAATTACATGGCATACGTGTACTCTAAAAGTTGGAGTAAAACAAAAAGTAAAAATGTTGCAGAAAATGACATTTTGGTGTTTAGCACCAATAAGGCAACTACATATGATTCGACACTCAGTAGACATACGGTACGACTTTCACATATCTTTCTGAAAAGCAGAATTAGTATGGGCTAAATGATGAAGTCAAAAGCGACAAAATACTGTTTAGTCAGGTAGGATTAAACAAGGTAAAGATTAGATGTCTTCTAAGATTTTTATTGATAAATGTCGATGGCTATAATGGCCATGAAAGTATGAAACTAATCAGGATACATCTTCACAGCAAACGTTATGTTTGTGACATATCAACATGTCCCGATACATATATATTTTGCTACATATAGCTTATTTGAAATATCACTGTCGAGATTAAACCGTATATATTTTATCTTAATAGAGAGATTTCGCACATAAGTGAAAGTACAACTTATACGTATACGTATACTTTAACTATAACTATAAAATCAATTTTGAATTGTATTTAATGGAACATAACTATTCCCGATATAGAAAAGCTCCATCAACTAGAGACTGTGAATGTACCGTCATCTTCACGTGTAGATTATGCACATTATAATTAAATGCTTGCTTCCGTGTCCTAGTAGTTGTAGTGTATTATAAACACGATCCTTTAAACTGAGTCATGATCCTTTAAAGTGAGTCATTACATAAACAAGTTGATTATTTCAAAGTTTTCATGATCAGTATAAGTTCAATGAACTTACAAAACGGTATATATACGTAAATGATAAATGACATACTGAGTGTTTCATAACGAGCATCTCCAAAAAGTCAAGTTGAAAAGAGATGGGTCTATACTATATATGAGCCTATTTTATTCTAGACAAACACATTTGGATCAACTAAACATGCTACAATTCAAGAAAGTACAAATGGCATTCCTTTGACCTTTACTTATCACAGTCCGAGAAGATCTTTCCTGACGAAAAGCCCACATTATGAAACAAGGTTGTACGTTTACTTATAAGTATAAGTATACGTTATAAGTTGTCTTTCACGTATGTGCGAAATCTCTCTATTATGTCATCCAAAAAGTGGGGTCGGTGGGGTCTCCGTCATTTGACGACAGTTGGTGGTTGGTGGTTGGCGATCGGTCTGTAACAAATTCTTACATCTTCCATTAACTTAACAAATACTGTTGAGACTGACTTCAGGTTATTTTCAAAATCATCTACACGTTTTCAGAAATTCAAATCTGACTTGTATTTAAGATTTGACCTTCAATGACCCTTTCAAGTTATTTTTCAACTTGCTTCAAATTGCCCACTTTATTTTCAAAATCATTTACAAATCATGAGAAGTTCAAATCTGACTTTAGATTTGAGATTTGACCTATAATGACCTTCTCAAGGTCAAGAAAGGTCAAAGGGGTATTTTTCAAATTGCTTCAAATTGATAATTTTTTCAAAATCATCTACAAGTTCTCAAAATCAATGACATTCTCAAGGTCAAAAAAGATTTTACCTTCAATAACCTTCTCAAGGTCAAAAAGGTATTTTTCAACTTGCTTCAAACTGATAAATTTTTTGCATGTTCTAAGAAATCTGACTTTAGATTTGAGATTTCACCTTCAATGACCTCAGGGTCAAAAAAGGTATTTCTTCAACTTGCTTCAGACAGCTGACTCATTGATTTTTTTCAAAATCATCTAAAAGTTACAAATTCAAATCTGACTTAATGGTGACATTTTGTCATGTTAATGAAATGCCTTGTATTTTAGAATAACATCAACATGTGCAAGATAAACAGGGCTATGGGTATAACGTCTGGTAACAGAATTCTAACAGTGGCTGCAAGTGGAACGCACGCCATTTCGAAACTAATTGCTGATCCTGAACAAGTCGTTGCATTGGATATCAGCACGCCCCAACTTCACATGTCAAAGTTACAAGCAACTGGCATAAAACTGCTATCTAGAATGGAGTTTTGCAGACTTTTAGGTATTAATAGAAAGTCAATTTCCTCAACTGAGAGAATAAAAATTTATCAACATATCAGGTCTTCCCTTGAATATGACACTATGACGTTTTGGGACAGGAGTATGATGGACATCGCAGATGGTGTGCTTTATTGTGGAGAATTAGTTAAAGCATGGTACGATCCAATTTGTGCTTTAATACCCACGATTCATGATGAAGCAACCGTCCAATATTTTTTAAAGTTGGGAGATAACATGGAAGAGCAGCGTCGGTTTTACGACCAAATTTGGAACACAGCGAAATGGCGCCAATGTTATGAAAGCATGATGAAGAAGGGCGAATTTTATTCACGAGTAAGCGAATCATTCGAAGATGTTGGTGTAAAACATGAGACTATGTTTCCAAATCTCTTTGACCGTGTGGTGAGACATATCCCAAACAATGCAAACGAGTTCCTAAAACCACTCCTAACTGGTGATATGACGGAAGTGGTTCACTGCCAGCTTATCTTAGAGAGGGGAATTTTGAACTCATAAAAGATCGTTTGGACAGAATAGATTGGGTTCAAGGAGACATTATGAAAAACATGACCGATTGCGCATCTTAAACTGATTTTGAAAAGTTTGATGGTGTTAACCTTTCCACGGTTCCTATTTACTACGATCGAGTTCCTGACAAACTTTATGAAATTTTGAAAGGCGCATCGGCTGTATGTAAGCCTGGTAGAAAGCTTGTGTATTATGTACCATTTGAAGAACTGAAAGTTAGATTCCCGAGGAATATGATAGCAAATGGTGAAATGACATACGATGGTCAAGATCTATCGTGTGGTTTTCTCATTGCGAGATATGCTACCGTCAAGTAATATATCACCCCTTAAAGTGGGTATCAAATTGAAACTACAGGGTGGGACAAAAAACGTCCACATTTTTGTTTTTGCTACAACTTTGTTGATATTACAGACAAATGTATAAACATCAAACTTGCCATGATAACTGACTATGTATAGGTGCATGATCCCTGGAAATTTGAAAGACGATCCAATTTCCAACATGATGATATACAATTCATTCAAAACACATGAGTATTTAAAAAATGTGGACGTTTTTTTTACTCATCCTGTATAGAGGCAAAACGGTGTGTGGAAATAAAGTAGTGTTTTTTATTTTGTGAACGACAAAATGTCACCACCGAGTTAGTTATTGCAAATGCTTACAAAAGTGTTACAATAGTTACATAATCAAATTTTAGGCTCCCTAAACAGTCACAAAAATGAGCTGTTACCATGGTTACATATGCATTGCCTTGGTAGCTGAAATTGCCAAAAACATGTTAAAGGTTGTAACATAAGTGTTGACAACAAATATCTCAGATCCAAGTGAACACTACTTCTTAAATTATTGCAAATGGTTACAGAATCTTCCCCGTCCACTTATTTGTTGCCATGGTTACAGATATTGGCAGAAATGTGCTGAAACTCATAACATGTTTATACTAGTATGCCCACAGTAAAGATTTGAAGTCAGTCTAAATAGTACTTGTTAAGTTATTGGAAGTTGCGCTAGAATTTGTTACAGACGGCGATCGCCGAATGCAGTACACCGTCCACAAAAAGTTGGCGACTTTAACAATGTGTCAACACTTCTGGTGATGACAAATTAAACTATAAAATTAGGATGATCTAGGATGAAGTCACTCTCGATGAAGTATCTAAGTTCGAAGGAAACCATGAAACATCAAATCAAGTCAAAACATTTTAATAGCACAGCTGAGCTCATCAATCATTTCTTCTTGTTTACGTTTATTGTCCTATATTTCCATTTACAAAATCGGTGCATATTGTAAAACATGAGACATTTTCAAAACTAGAAACTACAATCAAGAGATGAACTGTGCAACCTTTTCGAAGATTGTGTAACACCTTTTTCTAAAAATCTTAATCAGTCAAGCTACAACATAGCCAAACAATCAACTTGTCAGCTAGTCAATTAACCAGAAAGCCACAATTAATTAATCAACCAATTCGATTTGTTATTATCATGAAAGCAAGCCAATCAATAAGTTAGCTGTCCAATCAACAAATTTGCTAGCCAATCAAACAAAAAGCAACTATCAATCTCTTGAAACAAAATACAAACAAATCATTGTTGTCTGAAATTGTTATATTTAACATTATAGTACAGGGTGAGCCAAAAAAGATAACCCAAACAACTTTCAATAACTCAGCCATCCGGTTTTAAGTTATATTCAATATACTATTTGTTCAATGTTCTTTCATTCAAATAAGTTTCATTGGTCGATTTCAAATGATCACGATTTTATTGCCATTTTACAAAATAACCTCAAAATGCCAAAACATACCAAAACCAAACAATATGAAACCCCAGAATTCCATTGTAGGTACGAAATATTTCGAGTAAATTTAAAAATGCGTGACATATACGGTATATGCGTGAAAAGTCCGAACGAAATACGTTCGTTTTTTTTCGGCGTTCGTTTTTTGCTGTAACGGTGATCACTTTTTTGAAGTTTTGAAGTTGGGAATGGTGAAGAATGTAAGTTTTTCTATTTTTCTAGGCAAGGAAAAAAGATATTAGAATTCCAATGGGACCTATCTTTGTGATTTCCACAGCTTTTGCTTTTTTGTGAGGCATTTTCAGCAGAGTGAGTGCGGACTCTATTATGGGTACATACAATGAATAGTAAAAACCTGTTGAAAGTGAACATTGTCAGGACAGCTTTAGGTGTGTTTATATTGAGAGGTGTTTACAGTGTACATCACTTCAACAGACTTCATACCATTTGAGATTATAATTATACTTTTATGAGGGTATTTTGTACTCGTAATTCATATGTTGCTACTAGAACATAAAATGGGAAATAATGTCTCAGCAATATAATAATGTCTAGGCATTAGATTCTCAAATTCGAGAGAAATGTGCAGCATAAAATGCAAGAATACGCAGAATGATATGGACATGTAGCTCTCTATCCTCCTAGTAAGTTGAGATCACCCCGAGTCCATTTATAGAAAAAGCTGATAACATTTTTCAAAATAAACTTAACTTTTTAAGATGGCAGGCAGTGCACTTTACATTACTACCATAAGATGGCACACATGTATACACAGTCCTACACTTTCCATTGAATTTTCAAACGTAAATGTTTTAAATGCGAAAACACCTTTATGTCATGAAAATGGTCAATTTTGTAATGTTTGCCGCTCAAATGCAATAGAATCATCTAAGCATTTTCTTTGCAAATAAAAAAAATAGTTTAGCACTAAGCGACATCTATATTCTGAATGATACAACTAGTTTAGACCATTTCAATTTGATTTTTAATTGTACGGACGTAGCCTTGCCTCAGTTGGTGTTCAATTGTAACTATTATACAGGAGGAGAACAAATAATACAACACAATAATTGAGATAATTCACTCTGCATCCAGATGTATCTTCAGTTTTTTGATTATTTACAAACATATCCACATATGATCTACATGTAAGTCCAGTTGTTTCCAAGTTTGTTGTTAATACATAACTAGATTTGGCTACATGTAGCGTCTAAAACTTAACTCTGTTCATGAGAAGAATCACTGCTATAAAAATTTGGCCATTGGATCATCTGGGTTTTTCTGTGTAAGTCTATAGGCTTCCATTTCCTCTTTTGTAGGTTCTTTAAAGTTATACGTGCCACTATTATATGGACGTTTCCTCTCATCCATTGCAAGATATTCAGCAACTTTCCTCTGACGTTTTTTCTCATCTTCTATTGCCTGGAAATGATTAAGATGGATTAACAAGGCACAGACGTGAACAATATCGTACCTAAAACACAGCAGTGTGACAGTGAAGAATTTAGGACGGAAAATCCAAAATGGCCACCTTAAAATTTACCCAGAATGCCCAAAAACTAATTAGTTCTTAACTTTGATACGTAGAAACATCCCTGAAAATTTCAGATGAATCCATCAAATGGTTTGGCTGGAAACCTGTAGACAAGTCTTGAAAGTGAAGATTTTAGGACGGAAAATCCAAAATGGCCACCTTAAAATTAACCCAGAATGCCCAAAAACTAATCAGTTGTTAACTTTGATATGTAGAAACATCCCTGAAAATTTCAGATGAATCCGTCAAATTGTTTGGCTGGAAACCTGTAGACAAGTCTTGAAAGTGAAGATTTTAGGACGGAAAATCCAAAATGGCCACCTTAAAATTTACCCAGAATGCCCAAAAACTAATCAGTTCTTAACCTTGATACGTAGAAACATTCCTGAAAATTTCAGATGAATCCGTCAAATGGTTTGGCTGGAAACCTGTAGACAAGTCTTGAAAGTGAAGATTTTAGGACGGAAAATCCAAAATGACCACCTTGATACGTAGAAACATTCCTGAAAATTTCAGATGAATCTGTCAAATGGTTTGGCTGGAAACCTGTAGACAAGCTGAAAAGTGAGACGCCGCCCGCCCTCCCGCCGCCCGCCGCCCGCCCGTCAAGCTGACGACAATATCGTACCTTTATTAGGTACTACGATAATAAAAAGCTTGTTTTACGAAAGCATTGAAAAGCATGGATCATCAGTAGATGGAAATGAAACTTTGAAATCAAATATAGCACAAAATATTTACATTTAATGTGTTTATCAATTAAATATATTTTCAGTAAAATGGGAAATTTCCAAAGTTATGCCCTCCCACGTTTTATTTCTTGAAACTTAAATATAACTCATTGACACAGTTTTGATGTATAGAAAATATGGATGATATAATCTATGAGGGTTGTGTAATATTTTTAGGTTTAAGATATTGGGTTTATCCCAAGGGATGAATCCAATATCCAACATATAAAAGCTGTGCCAGGGCCAGGAAAGAAAACATGAAATTAACAATCCAGCTGCTGGCAGAAATAATTTTCAAATATTGCTGGTATCTCCTAACTTGGACTAAATATAAACATTTTAATTTACCTGTTTAAGTTTCTCCTCATTTATTTCGTCCTCGTTGTCAGATTCGCTCTCTGAACTACTGCTGCTACTACTACTACTACTTTCTTCCTTCTTCTGTTTCTTCCTACGTCTTTTCTTCTCCTTCTTCTTACGTTTCCTCCTCTTATCATCCTGCTTGTCTTGATGTTTCTAGAAGGAAACAACAATTATAATGCAATGTGTGATCAATGTCCAAAAGGCAGTGTGTATTTATCAAAGCAATTTTCTAAACTCATAATCAAGTAATTGTTTAGGAAACCTTTCATTTTTAATATCAAACCATTAATTTGTCTGTTCTGTTCAACTTTCAAGTTTTTTAAAGTTTGTATGCAGAATAACTTAAGTCACTTGAGAACTGTATAAATAATACTCACTTCAAGTAGTGTTTTGTCAGGCTCGGCATCTGCTACTGCAACCATTGCTGTATTCTCTACACTCTCCTGTAAAATATGGTATATAAAACCATAATTCAGATTTAATTGCCTGATCACAACGGGCAACATTTAATCTAGAGCAGGGTCAGTCATGATTCTGTACAAGATGACCAACATGTGGACAAATCTCATCATAACATTAAGCTAGTATGGGTCATACAAAAGAACAAAATAAGACCACATTTTAACAAACTGAAAACCAAAACTATGATTTACAAGACTTCTGGCTGAAATTACTAGTACAACTTGGGTTGACTGAAGTAGGAGGTGCAGATTACAAGATTCATCTTAACAAAAGAATTTAGCATGGGGGATACACTTACCATTTCAATTTGTCTGCCTTTTTCCCCTGTACAATATGACTCCTTGATAGATGAGTAGCAGCATTTATCCACTTATCATTTCAATTTGTCTGCCTTTTTCCCCTGTACAATATGACTCCTTGATACATGAGTAGCAGCATTTATCCACTTACCATTTCAATCTGTCTGCCTTTTTCCCCTGTACAATATGACTCCTTGATAGATGAGTAGCAGCATTTATCCACTTACCATTTCAATCTGTCTGACTTTTTCCCCTGTACAATATGACTCCTTGATAGATGAGTAGCAGCATTTATCCACTTACCATTTCAATCTGTCTGCCTTTTTCCCCTGTACAATATGACTCCTTGATACATGAGTAGCAGCATTTATCCACTTACCATTTCAATCTGTCTGCCTTTTTCCCCTGTACAATATGACTCCTTGATAGATGAGTAGCAGCATTTATCCACTTACCATTTCAATCTGTCTGCCTTTTTCCCCTGTACAATATGACTCCTTGATACATGAGTAGCAGCACTTATAGCCCCATCTGCCATCTCGCCAGAATGATCCCCAAACTGCTGTGTGATTGTTCAACAATATGTCTTCTTCGTAACGTGATCTCATGATGGCTTTCTCATGTCCCTTTACCAAAGCTCCCGTTCTGGAATATTCTACATAGTCTTCCTGAAAATATGAATAACACAAAATTTAAAACCCAAGATATTTTATCTTGACCTTTTTGGAAGAAATAAAATTTCAAAATACATGAAAAAATGGCCTTAACGGAAGAAATGTTTTAAAATACATGTCCAAGATTTTTGTTATGTCCCTACCTATGGAAGAAATAAAAGTTAAAACAAAAAACACTAAAACTCACAGTTTGGGCCAAGAGTAGTTGTTTGGGAGGAGCATCCAGATGTTCTCGACCACCATATTTATCCAGTATACTTTCTTTTTGACTTTCTTTAAAGTCTTCCTTCTTTGTTTTAAACTCTTTATTGAGCATCTCCAGCCTTGTTGGGTCAGCTTGAACATGAACATCAGCTCCCTTCTCGTAAGCTTCCCATGCAAACACTGCAACAAAGGCACAGTTATACAGGGTGTCCAAAAAGTAAGTAAGATATAAACAGACCAACTGAACTTATCGTTTAAAACTTTAACAAAGTAGTATGAGTATTTTATCCAAAAAATGAATTTAAACTAAATCTTTTGAAGTAAATTCTCTTGGCTAATTGAGAAAAAAAAATCTTGATTAGAAACACAAATCATTTCTATAACTTGCATTTAGTTCATGCTTAAATTCTTTTAGGAAATGAACTTTATTTATGGTAATTTCTCAATCTATTGGATGGATGACAGGATCGCAAAGTTTTTAATCCAAATATCTAATTGACTCTCAGTGTCTCTGAGTCAAAACTTACGTCTCACGATTAACAAGTAACCTGAGAGTCAATTTAACTGAAAGTAAACTCACCTTGACGTTTAGCCAGGTTGTGAGCATCACCAGATACTCTAATGAAGTTGTCCCCTGCATAGGGTACCCTGATAAATAGAATTAAATATTTGTTTTATAGTATTCCTGTCAAGCTCACAAATCAAATTCTCAGGAGCTAATTTTTTTAATAGCACTAGAAATGTTTAATTTGAATAGCTGGACAACATGGATTTTTGCAACAGTCTCAATGTTTCAAATGAATCTAACGAAAATCATATACAAACGTCAACTGTTGTTTGATTATATGTTTGATTATTATTATTAACTACAGTATCACTGTGCGGTTGTATTTAGCATACTTGTTCAATTGACTCCCTTGAAAATTGAAAATAAAGAGATATTCAAGATTAATCATAGTGTCTTTTCAGAATTTGACCAAACCAATATTCAAATCAACAATGTATTCAGTTACTCAACCAAAACAATGTATTCACTTACTCAACCAAAACAATGTATTCACTTACTCAACCAAAACAATGTACTCAACCAAAACAATGTATTCACTTACTCAACCAAAACAATGTATTCACTAACTCAACCAAAACAATGTATTCACTTTCTCAAGCAAAACAATGTATTCACTTACTCAACCAAAACAATGTATTCACTTACTCAACCAAAACAATGTATTCACTTACTCAACCAAAACAATGTATTCACTTACTCAACCAAAACAATGTATTCACTTACTCAACCAAAACAATGTATTCACTTTCTCAAGCAAAACAATGTATTCACTTACTCATCTGCCTGTTTTCCTGCAAATGGGTTCTCCCTCATAGATCTTGTCTTAGGATCATAATATGCTGAATTTGGGTCGAGATTATATAAATATTTTGCAGTGTCTTCTCTTATTCTCAAGTTCCTTACAGTTATACGTTCTTTTGTTTCAAATTTTGACCCGGGCATGTCTAAATCATCAATATATTTATGTTCATCATCAGGGCCATCCTCATTGTCTTTCAATTTGTCAACCTTGCCTGATTGTAGAGCATCTTCGAGTGTCTGTTCTTTAAGGGCACGTTTGGCTTGTTCAAGCTGTTTAAACTCCTCCTGCACACCACGCTGATGTATGTCCATGTCCATGCCATTCCAATGGTCCCGCTTACCATCATAGTCAAATTTGAGATCTGCCTGAATGTGCTCATCTGGAGCTATACCTGATCCTGTGAACTTGGCACCAACCTTTCGTGGTCTCTGAAAGAAAATCATTTTTTGTAAACATGTGTTGTAAATAAGTGAAGTCCCATTGTACTTATATACACTAGATGACAATGTTTATGTGTGAGAAAAATATGAAACAACAATTTCTAAAAGTGAAAGAACTATAAGGAATTTCAAAAAAAGAAAAGGAAAGAACAAGCTCAGGCAATGAAGAATAGAAAAATGAAAATTGTTTGTTCTTTTTTCTAAACAATATTTATAGACTAACCACCAGCCTTGCAAAGGGTATAAGACACTTAAATCCTTTCATAATTTTCTTTATTTTGTATGAATTACTATACCAACTGAAAACAATACCAACAGAAGTAAATTTTATAGCTACTTACTTCAAGGCAATCTTTCTTCTTATGAGTCATGGCTCCACAGTTTTCACATGCTCCTTTTCTAAACTTTGTAGCAACTGGGCCCTGTTAATCATAAAATAACAGTTGTAAGTTAAAAATATAAAGAGATCGAAGATAGCTAAATCAGGCTTAGGTTTGTTGGTATGATGTTTCCCCAACGGTTTTATTATCAGCTCTGAAATCCCTACAATTGCAGTTGTAAGACAATTTCAGATGGAGTACATGTATTCTCAAGATGGGGTCTACATCACAGGCTGGTATCGAAAAATTTGTCCGCTGTGACGGAGCGTGCTATTTTGCATAGAAACACTAGGAAATCCACACAAATTATTTTTTACTCATATGTTTTGCTATATCAAAGAAAATTACTGACTCCATGCAATGAATATATCATTTGCGGGTAACTTTAACTTCTGTTTGAAGTCCAACAACGCTAAGAGTAAAAGCTATTGAAAACGGCGTCGGAGTATCATACTCCAAAATGTACCATTTCTTTTATTTCTTTTTAATGGTACAATATAGCGACACGACAATATTTACATATGTTTTCAGCATAACTCTGAAGGTATTAATGAGATCTTTATGAATTGGGTATTTTTAATTTTTTTGATAAAAAATAATAATTAAATTTTTTGTCCGCTGTGACGGAGCAGTTTCAAATCTGAAATACGTTAAGAATTTAGATTTATAATATATCTCTTTCCAACTACTTTAGAGGAGCGAGCGTGTCAAATCTCTTTCGTAATGTATTCTGAAAAATGAAACGTAATAAAAGTACACATAATTCAAATTCTGAGATGTATATACGACCACTCTTTAAGCTTCTTTTCTCAGTTTGTACTGCAATCCAACTTATGCATGGTAACTCATGAAAATGATAGTCAACTTCATTTCAGTATAGGGTATTTGCCTTTCGTAGTGCCTTCTGTGGATCCATCGGCCTGACATGGTCATTTTTACGGTAACTTGATTATTTGAAGTAAGATGATTTGCTGAAGATGAGGCTAAATACATATAATGATATGGACTGTGGATTGTTCTACCCTCTTTAGTCGTTCCAAAAGGTAAGTTGCGTGTATCTTGAAATACGAAAATGCAAAATTTGATTTAAGATCGTTCTTTATTTGAATAAGAGTTATGGCTATCTGATGCAACTACAGTAAAACATGTGTACAGTGAACACATATGGAGCCCAAAAAATGTGTTCCTAGTTGGTAGATGTGCACTCCATAGAGGCAATTTCATACAGAAGTCAGAGGAATATTTGATAAGAAGAGGTGTTCACTAGAGAAAGATATTCATTGATACAGGTTTTACAGTGAAGTACGTTTACCAAGACTTTTTTTTATAATTTTAGTCTATGCAAAACGATGAATTTCCTGAATTTCAAATAATTACAATTGAATCTGTATTGGGATCATCTTATATACAGTACTAGTATGTGGTAAAACGTTATACATCTGTCGGAATGCACGATGTCTGTGCGCTATTTCGAATAAATTCGTAGTAGCCCTATTTACACTTAGTTACACGTGACATTTCAAGACGTCTTGGCGAAAACGTATTAGAAATATTATGTTGAGTTTACACTATGTTGATTCATGTTGATTTCAGTACAAACCTCTGAAAATGCTAAGAGTGGTCGTTTTTATATCTCAGATTTACATTACCCCAAATCTCCAAGAGGCTACTTGTCATAATTTCGGAAAGTGGTTTGTGAGGTTCTCTCTTCTAAGGGTACTTTTAAAAGATACAATTTGAATCTTAAATTCTTACCGTATTTCACAATTAAAACTGCTCCGTCACAGCTGACAATAAATGTAAACATTATTTTTTATAGAAAATATAAAAAATACCCAATACATCAAGATATCATTAATACCTTCAGAGTTATGCTGAAAACATATGTAAATATTATCGTGTCACTATATTGTACCATCAAAAAGAAATAAAAGAAATGGTACATTTTGGAGTATGATACCCCGGCGCCGTTTTCAATAGCTTTTACTCTTAGCGTTGTTGGACTTCAAACAAAAGTTAAAGTTACCCGCAAATGATATACCCATTGCATGGAGTAAGAGATTTTTTTTGGTATAGCGAAACATGAGTAAAAAATAAAGTGTGTGGGTTTCTTAGTGTTTCTATGCAAAATAGCACGCTCCGTCACAGCGGACAAATTTTTCGATACCAGCCTGTGTACATGCAGGTTTGGTTACGATTATTTTTTGAGACTTTTAAGCATTGAAATTAGTTTAATGTAAATGTATGTCAATTATATTCAACCTTTTTAATTTTAGAAAAACTTTACATGATAAAAAATCACGACCTGGTAATTCATTGCAAATGGATACAAATGTGTAACAATTTGTTACAGATGCTTATTCCCAAACATTGGTCACAACAAAAATCAGCGGAATAAAGGCACTTCTCGATGGTGATATACCATGGGGTGCCAAGCACAACCATAAATTTGAATTTTACACCTACCAGGGGTTTCAAAATCAAGGATTGTGAGTCTCATACTGCACTGACAGAAAGACATTTTTGTTTTCCTTTGAATGGAACAAGTTTGAAGAAAAATGGTACAGACTCACAATCCTTGATTTTCAAACATCTGGTAGGTCTAAAATTCAAATTAAAAGTTGTTTTTGTGTATAGTTGGGCCCTCGTGCATACTTAAAATGCATTTTTGAATATATCATTGGTTACCTCTTTGATGCCTTTTTTGAACCATTCACCCATCTTTGCATACTCTGACGCTTTCTTGTGCTCAGACGTAGAAGACCTCTGATGTCTCAATGTAGCTTGTTCTGCCCCAATGTACCAGGGTGCTTGCATAATATACTGTGGGATATGAGGATTGATGTCTTTTCCCATTTCATCTTTCATGGCAGGTTCGCTACCTGCTTTCCTGGCTTCTTCTAACTCTTTGGCCTTTTTATAGTCCTCCCTCGACTGTTTGACTGGCTCATCTATATTACTCTTTGCCTCCTTCACCACCTGTGAAGGTGGTCTATTGAGAACAAACGACATCTTGCTGTCTACGTGCTGTTACAAACTGACCTCGGCACTTCAAAGTAAACACACCACTTCCAAGTAGACACTGTGTAAGTAACTTACTGAAACACAATAAATTGTTCATATTACTTAAAATCTCTTCACAAGAAGATAAACCTCATATGAACATGCAAACGTGCTATTTTCTATTGCTTTATTAAAAGAAAAGCACTTTGTTGTTCATTATCTCGAATTAAATGAGGTTGGTGACTTGGTGTTCATTTGTTGCCATTTGTTTGACACCAACACCATCCAAAAAGTCACCACTTCTGAGAGGTAATATATTTTCGTACCAGATCCTAAAATTTGGGTCCATTGCCATACCTAATGTCAAAAAGGTACCTCACGTGAACTGAGGATCCCTCTCAAGGTTTATATACAGTGAACCCCTGGGGGTATCCCAGGGACTATATTCTGAGACTGATTAACTAAAAGTTTACAAATTAATCGCTTGAACTATTGATGTAACAATGATTTTTTTTAATTTAATTAGTTTGTAACTTATTCATTATACGGTCTCTTGATTAATTTGAATAATGACCATTCAAACAGTTGGATATATCGCACACATAAATATCTGGTGAAGTTAACTCTCAGTAATACAAATGTATATGTAAACAGTGACTTAGTCAAATTTCAATCGTATCATGTAAATGCTCCATTTTTGTCATTATTCACGCATTTCTAGCTTTTATCTTAAACTGAAATGCAATGTACAAGTACAATGTAACGTTGATGCCATTTCATCAATTTGGGGTAACTTCGATGGATGGAGTAACTTTGACACCTTGTTGTTTATTTGCTTTCATTTCCGATCTAAGGAGAAGCCATGAATCTCTATTCCCATGGATCGAGATCAAACATGGCGGAAGACAAAAATTATAATTTCTAACAGGAAAGTGTCAAAGTTACCACATTTGACGTTATGTATTGAATATGCCTTTGAAGTGTCTTCAATATAGCGACAGACCTCAGGCATATATTCAATGATTGGGACATAATGACTAAATATCGAAAATGAAAGACTGATGTATCTAATCAGATGTGATTTCTTGAGAGTGTACAGTAGACTACTGCACTGTTGCATCAAGCAATTATTCCTGGTACATTCTACAGACATACAGTTGGGGACAAAAATAAATGACAGGTCGATTTTCGATCACCATTTCCTAATTATGGTGGTCTGAAAGCCCATAATTTCCAATATTGTCTAGATACATATCCCTTAAAATTTGTATATTTTACATTTTGTATAATCTCATCCACTGATTTATGGCCTCTTGTAAATTCTCTTATTTTTAACATGGGAAATCCTCACTTCAGCAAATCCACCTGTCATTTATTTATGTCCCCAACTGTAGATCAGTAAATGGAGGTTAATTTTACATGAATCTCAATCCTGAGGTTCTCCCCTACTAGCTTTGACTGAAAATGTTCAAAATCATTGAATTGAACATATGAAAATGAAATGAACTCATGGTGAATTAGGCCTATTGAGATTTATCATTTTCTTCATTTAAATCATTGAAAAAAAATTGATGATTTTTAGGGGACAAAAAAATGATTATAAGCCGAACAAATACTTAAAAATAAACATTAAATATAAACTATACCTCAACTTGGTTAATGTGTTTTAATTATGCTTCATCCGAAAGCCTTTATGATGCGTGAATCTACCAAAACAAATATAAAAGTATGTCGAATGTTTTTCGTTTCCAAAAAACTACCCAGAAGTCTTCCTATTTCCGGTGGGCGATAATAGAGAAAATCAAAACATGGATGTTTATTTTGGGCATTATTGGTCTTTTTAAGTAACATCATGCCTCTATTTAAGTTTATGACTTCCAAATGTATGCAGCAGATATGTCTCAACAGATATACGTTGCAAAGATTTGTGTCAGGACGAAGCGCGAAACGATATTCAAGGTTCAAACGAAAAAGTGAAAGTTTTGACAAAATAAAAAAAAATTACAGACATGACAGAGGTACAAAAACAGGTTTGACTGTATTTAGTAAAGAAGCAGAACACATTACAAATATTGACTTGGAGAACGTTCAAAAGGAGCTGTACTCCATAAATAGATTCATGTCTGAACTCCAAGATAATGTAGAAAATTCACAAGAAAGGGATATACTCCAAAACGCAGGTGATGTCTTCCAGTCACAAACACATTTTGCGAAAACCCAAGATATCATCCCAAAAGATGACACCGTTGATAAAGCAGAAGCAATTTATAAATCTTTATTTGAGAAAGAAAACCCAGCTATTCCAATTTCAGAGATTCCGTGCCAAGGGTGTGGTGCATTATTGCATTGCAAAGATCCCCATTTACCAGGTTTTATCTCGAGTGAAGTTTTCGAACAAAAGAGTAAAGGAAGGAAGTTGACTTTTACCCAATGTGCAAGGTGCCAGCTTATCAAAGAGTACAATATTCTCCATGACGTAGGGGTACCAGCAGAGCAATATGCAAAGATAATCAATGAATTAAGGGATAAGCATGGTTTGATTGTGCTTGTAATTGACCTAACTGATATCAAAAATAGTATTTTCAAAGGACTTGAAATGGTAGCCACAAAACGACGTCCTTTGTATATTATAGGCACCAAGCTTGACTTACTTATTAATGATGACTTACATAAACAGTTTGGAGCTTATTATCTAAACAGAATCAATGATGCAATCGTATCAACCATCAAAGACTACAAGTTCTCCCAGAAGTTCAATATTAAATACATTGGCCTTGTTAGTGGAAAAACAGGTTTTGGTATAGAGGAGCTTATCAACCAGATACTCAACAAATGGCAGAGAAAAGGTAACCCACCCCTTCCCCACAAGGGATGTCTCAAACAAACCTTTGAATCATGCATGACAAGTTACATGTTTAGTCCATACAATACTGTTCACTCAAGGCTTCTTCTCAAGTGGATGCAGAGTGCAAAATTTTAGTTTTCGCAATTCTGACGAAAAAATGGTCATATGCATTCTCTACCAATTATTCACTAAGTATTCTCATTTTCAAGTGAATGCAAATGGGTTTTCAGTTTGATGCAAGCCTATCTTTAAATTCCAACTGAATAGGCCCATAGCATTAATTTGCTGTAATGCTGATTTGATCACTGAAGCATGTACAGCGAAACTTGTATTTCTGAACACCTCTCTAATCCAAACACCTCTCTAATCCAAACACCTCTCTAATCTGAACACCTCTGAATGTGAACATTTTTCTCGGTCCTAAATATCTTATCTCCTATTGACTTACATGTTTTTATAAAACCTTGAAATGTGAACCCTCCTAATCTGAACACTTTTGGTCAGTCCCAGAGGTGATTGGATTAGAAAGGTTATACTGTACATTGATCCCCACAGGAATTTTTGACAAGTGGGTGCAAAATTCTCATTTTCACAATTTAGACCAAAATTGGTCAGAATATGCATATTTTCATGATTTTTCTCATTTTCAAGTGGGTGCAAATGGATTCTCAGGTGGGTGCAAGCCTATTATCAAAATCTCAGATTGGGCTGTGCCCACTTGCTTTAATGCTAGCTTGATCACTGCTGTATGTTATGGTTATTTCAGGTGATATTTACCTGGCTGGGAGCACAAACTCTGGTAAATCTACTCTGTTCAATGCCTTATTGAGGTCGGATCTCTGTGCAGTTCTTGCAAAACAATTTACCAATGAGGCCACAACATCTATGTTTCCAGGTATGACATTTTAAAGTTTCAAATCCACCTTGAAATGTTGACATAATGTGGCCTTTATATTGAAAAGGTATATCAACAAATCTGATTAAAATCTGAAAAAAATTAATGAAAATAGATTCTGTAACACCTATAATGCAGTATTCTTTAGTCTTGCTTCAAGACCCTAGATTCCCCCATATCTACTTCAAAAACAACAACCTAATGTTGAAGTAGGTAAAGGGAGATGGTCCAAGGTCTTGAAGCAAGACTAATTTTCTAATATCATATTTCCAGTGGAATAATCAACAAATCCCTGAACTCGTTCATGACAGTGCACTTAATGTAAATCTGAATCTTCTGAACTTGTCCACATTGTTCTCTTAGGTACAACGTTGAACATGGTCAAGTTTCCATTAGTTAATCTCACACCTAAAATGCTGGCGGAGCGTACAAAGCGTCTCATACAAGATAGAAAATATCGTGAAAAGGGTAAGCTTGTGTATAAACATGTGAAATGGCATAGTCATGATCTATTTCAATTTAAGCAAATCTGAATTTAATTCTCTAAACATAATTTTATGTAAAAGTTTAACTTATTCCTGATCCCATTCCTTACATGTTGCTGTTGGCATTTTAATATCAAGGAAAAGTTACGATTCAGTTATGTGATTTGCAACTGTCTGGATAAAAACCAAAAATGTAAAACTGTATACTATATTCTTGTATACAGCAAATTCTGAACTTGTTTTATGTATATCTACCAGGTCATATAGGGGAGACATTTGTGCCGAAGGACAGGGTTGAAATGGAGAGTGATCTTGTTAGTTATGAATTCAATGAAGATGTTGGAAGCTATAAGGAGGGTGCATATGACAAAGAAAGTGTAAGAGAGACTGATCAAGGCCCCTACCCTAAGGCTATGGACACCTATGGGTACTGGCTGTATGACACACCAGGCATCATTAACCCTCAACAGGTAACCGTGCTCTTATTCCTCATTCTAATATGATATGTGACGTCACAGTAGCTAGAACAATTGATTTACTGGTCTATGTTGGAGTTTGCATGATCGCTAAAATTCATAAATGCAAATTGTTGTGTTTCTTATCTGTTTTAACAATGACCAGAATAAAATTTTCTGTCATATATTACGCCATAAATCATAAAATTTCGGTCTTTATTCCTTGAATAAAGTTGAATAACGTGAATACCACTCGATGCCGCCTGACAGTTATGTAACAATAGATGTTGTGAGAGTACATTTATGTTAATTATCTCATGTTTTTATTTGTAAAATACAAAAGTCTAATGTCTAATTTTACACTATTTTTAGGTAGTAAACTTACTGAGCCAAGATGAATTGCCCATATTGTTGAAGTGTGGGAGTTATCTTCCACGTACCTTTGTGTTGAGACCAGGGGATGCTCTGTTAGTGTCAGGTCTGGCTAGAATAGACTATGTAGAGGTCAGTGTATTATATTTCCCTTTGATAATAGATGGTTAGATGATGTGTGAAAATGACATGAATTATGATGTTAAGCCTCTCATTCCTGTATGTAAACATGTTATATTATGACCTCCAGGAATCTTCACCCCCCCCGCACCCCCTTCAGCTGAGTTATTGCGGGACCTAATTACATATTACTATTTTTCTAATACCTTTATACTCAATTGGGCAAGTGAATTCTAAATACAATCTCACAATTAAAGGCTATTATCTAACTTACCTCAAGTTCCAAATTTTATTGGCACTGTTGGTTTGTTGGTTTAGATAAGGCTATTTGATGCCACAGTGAAGTAGCAACATCAACTATGACCAATCATCTCCCAAATGAGAAGGCTCTCTGTCTGATACCATCTCCCATGCCATTTACATGTACCTCTTCCTATCATGTGTCATCTCATAATCCCTGTGTAAATGATAATCAGCAGTATGAAAAGATACCTATATAAACCCATTTATTCAATTATTTTTTCCATTGTTGCCATTGTAGGGACCAGCTGCAATATATTTCACAGTGTTTTCAAGTCCAAAATTGCGTTGCTATGTCAACACACAGTACAATACTGACAAATACTACAGGCGCTGCTATGGACAGCCATCCCTAAGTGTAAGTAAAAATGAACTGGAAAGCTATGATGATGTTCTTTGTGAAATGCTTCCAAATATGGTCAAGTTTGCACCATAAATAGTTAGCCTATACAATTCATTACTTTATTTGTGACCTAAGTTTACCTCATGTATTAAAACAAAGACCCTTTAAAATTGTTTAATTTTTTAAAGCCTTATAAGGATGTTACACACATGTAATCATAAGGCACAGTTATGTAGCATATTCATGTGGCAGTCCTCTTGTATAAAAATTAATAGATTGTATAAATTCATAGTTTATTTTTTCATATTTTTGTATTTTTCATTTTTAGCTCCCTATTGGTGATCAGGCACACTTAGATAGGATACCCTCACTTGTTGGTAGAGATTTCAATTTAACTGCAAAAACATTTAAAGAAAGTGCAGCTGACATTTGCCTCTCATCAATAGGTAAGCCTAGTAATCTATGATTTATGCAAATAAATATCCAAATGCAATGTCAAGGTGTAAGAGAGCTTGAAAAAGCCATCCTTCACCATTCACTGCTTTCTTAGCAGCTCATGTAATTCAATGAATTACTCTTTGGCCAAGGATGTGAAAGAGCTGTTAAATGTTTTTTATCATCAATTTTTTCGTATATGTTGTATCAATATGATTCATAATGTGCGAGTGATCCATTTTCGGCACAATCCTAGCTATTTCTATGTTTCTATGAACAGTGACTTGTGACCAAATCATGAATTTTGACATTCACCAAAACTTGCCCCAGTACAGACTGCACCTTTCATTATTTCGTCCTTTAAAAGATGTTATATTTTGAGTTGAGTAATTCTTATTTCAGGTTGGGTAGCAGTAACTCCAGGTAGAAACATGAAAGTGAAGTTGCGGGCTTACACACCAGGTGGCACTGGCTGCCATACAAGGATGCCATCTATGATGCGTTTTGCTGTCAATCAGAGAGGCAAGAAAAAAGGACGTGCATTTGAAGTCAGACGTGACCTATATGAGAAAAATAAAAAATAAATGAGACATTATTACTTATATCATGATATTAGATTCAACAGGTAAATGTTTCAGTCCTTTAGTATAAGACTTATCATCTTGCATGGACAGAATTTGATTATATTATCATCATGGGCTTTCAACTTCTAATTGAAAGCCCATGATATTATTCATTTACATTATTTATTCATTTATTAAAGCTAACAAAGTGCAACTACTTAAAGGTACCCAATGCCGATATCATATTAAATAACACCAAAATTAAAATGAATTCAAAGTGTAATTAGAATCATCAATTGTTATAAATCTCCTTCCCATGAAGAGATTAAACCTTGAAGTAAATTGATCCCATAGTGGATGAATATTTGATTTAGAAATTTGGAAATCAAAAGAGGTTCATGCATCCCTTCTAATTTACATGTCAGGCATTTCCAATCCTTTGTATGTTACAAAGTTTAATGTCAAAGTCTGTCAAATTCAAAACAATTAATATAGTCATTTTGTGTGAAGAGATACTGTTCGTGTTCGCCAATAAAGCCCACTGCTGTTTTATTTGTACTGGTTAATTATGTTTGCATGATATAAATATAGATGTCATCATGTACAATAGTGTCTCGTATTTTTAAGTGATTGTGTACTTGACGATAGGGAGATATAAATAGATGTCAGGTGTAGCGTTCTATTAAAGTGTTTCTATCCAAATCTTAATAAGTGTGCCAATTTAACACTACTATTCAGTTAAAATAGATAAAACTGAAATTCTCTTCCAAGTTAGTTTATCATAAGCGTTCATAAAACATAAAACAGTATTATTAATAATATTTGAGGTATTTACTAATGCTTGAATGAGAAAAAATGTAAAGATGAGATATTTACTTACAACCTCAAGATTTACAAAAGGAGGCTCTTTAAAAACTTCACCGTTTGAGAGCTTGATGTATTTGTTTTGTTAAAATTGTATTGCTAGTTTGTAAGTAATCAACCTTGATTTTTATTATGTTTTTAGCATTTAATGAGTTATGCAAGTACCAGGTGTAAGCTGATAAATGGTAACTCCACTAATGAAGTAATCAGAAAAAATAACGCCCATCCAGCTATCCATGGCCAATCTCTCTCTCCTGTTAATTGACTCCAAATACCAGCACTACTGGTATTTCCAAGAAACCATCAACAATTTTGGATTAATCATTTTTTAACTGAAGCTTATCGGTCTAAATACAAGGAAGTATGTGTAGAATTGCAATATAATCATGTGTTAAAATCATTTATAATGTATATGACTAATAATATCAAATATCAATAATATCAAATGCTAATTAAATTGTACCAATAGACGAGATGTGAGTAGAAATAATCTTGATTTACGTCATTAAGAATTCAAAATTCAGTCAACCTGATGTCGTATTTGGAATCTACATGTAAAATTACATCTAGTAATGTGGTTTTGAAAAGAGTTTATCAACTTTGAAAATTTAATTTTCTTTGAAAATATGACTTCAAGGTCGTGGAGATTCTCCATAGACCCCATGTTGTAAAATCACAAGAAGTGAAATATCTTTTCATGTGTTGGGCAGATAATATTTTCTTTCTCTGGACATATTTTGATTTGTATAACCATCAGGTACATAAGGGTAGTACCCTGCCCTGTTATTTCTCCCGAATTAACCACCTAGTGGCGAAACTGGTAACTACCTACTCGCATCTGTATTATTATTAGCCAAGTCTAAAAAATGTTTAGGATAGAATCATGATGTACTCAGTTTTCTCTTTGGGTGATCTCTTGGGAGTATTTTCTTATGTTCCTTTTATTCCGAATTGTACTTATGCAGTAGAGTTCTACTGTTAAGGATGTGGTAAAAACTAAATAATTTGAAAAATTAGTAGCAAGTAATTTATTGACTTGTAGTTGACAAGTATGACCAAATCTTGGCCTCATAGAACTATTCTCAGTAACTGTTAGTAATCCTATACTTCTTAATGGTCTGGCAAAGTGGCTAAATAATTAGCCTGAAAATTATCTCTAAATATTTTGTAATTAATCCTGTCGTATGTACTGAAGTCTAACAGGAAATATGCCAAAATCCCATTACCCACCTCCCCTACCCCCTCACCCTCCTTCCCTAATTCTTATCATATATCCAGATGTAAAGGATCACCAAGTTCTAAAATTGTAAATGATAAAGATAATCTATCTTTAATGCTATTTGCTGATTAGCGGCATTGGTTACATATTTAGGTAGCCGCTATATGTATATTAACACTCTATGGAGTATACATAGTAATTAAAAGGTAGCTTACATTCTAGCTACACTTGTTTCATCCCAGCCCTGCCTGTCAATCATAAACAATTATAAACAAGTTGGGGGTAGAGATAATTGTTTCCTTGACTACAGGATCCCCCTACTTAAAACCTCACTGCTGGTCACTATCATTCCACAAAATTACTCTTTAAATTTTGGAGGAATTTTCAACATTGTAGATACATGGTTCCTGACTTTTGTTTTATCCCATTCAAGGTGGATATCTGCTATGTATTTGGAATTCCTCTTTATTTTACCATATATGCATTTGTATTGTGAATTGATCTGTATATTTAGACTATCTGATACCTAGTATTATATGCAAGGGATGTTGATCATCATCATTCAACACAAACTTCCTCCTCAAATCAGCAGACCTTATCTCATTTAAATCTCAACATACGCTAAACGTTTACTTATTGATAAATTATGTTTTATTATCGTCTGCTGAAATTGTTAAGATAAATTATATTATAATGGATAGCTTGACACAGTTTGAACTTGTAAACTAAAAATATAGATATTTACACTTTGATTTTAATTTTGTCTTCATTCTAGCTTGTGTCATTTTTAAGCAAGATGGGATATATGAATTTATTGGCGTTTTTTGGCTTTCACCCTATAGTATTTTGAATATTTTGTGGGTGAATTTATGGATCTGAACTACTGTCTACAGGTCTAGCAAATCGTGTTTTGTGGATAGTGTCACATCGATGACGGATGATATTGTGTTTAGCATGTCTTTTGGTATCATTATTTTGCAAGTTGTGCCCCTCGTATTTTAAGATAAAAATGCACCATTTAGTAACATTATATGCAGTTTGATTTCCCCAGATCAGCTTTATTCATTTTTATTAATTCTTTAATCAATTTGATACTGTGATGAGACATTTAAATGAAGTACTTGTAATTATTAAATTCAGAATATATTCAGTACAAGTTTTCCCTCTCTATTGATTCCCTTTGGTATTCTCTGATATGTATGCGTGCATGATATCCGCTGTAGCATGGCTCAACACTGCAGAGGAGATTCCATTAATGGGTTAGGAATTGCAAGAGCATGCTCTGATGTTTCGCCTTGGTTTATCTAGCGTCCCAGTCACAAGTCACTACGACAGTGATTACACCCTCCATTAGCAAGCATTCAATTTAATTTGCAAGTTCATTCCATAGTCACGGCTCGCTGGTGATGGAATATTCTTAATGCACCAGACTTTAACTACCAATTATTTTTTATATTGTCCCAAATTGACTCCGTGGATAGTATTGCTTTTTTCTAGTTTGGACTAACGATTCTATGTTGTGTGTGTAGAAAATATTTCCAAGCTGATAAGCATTGTGAACACGTCTATATAACTTACCGGCTCAACGCCGTTGTTTTGTTGGGAAAAATGAAATACGAAGTCAAGATGTTTATGAATAAGATTTATGTCATTACCATGTTTCTCAGCATTTACATTACACAACCAAGGGCTCGTTTCACATCACAATTTGGTATGACAAAGATGCAGATACAAGGTTCCACGAGGCTGCTTTCAAAATAACTGGAATGGTTTAACTGAGGATTTGGAATTCTTGAATATATCGTCCACAAGAGTTCTATTGTATGTGAACTTCTTCAATGAAATGAACAGAAAGGGGACCTCGTAATGACTAACTGTGAACGGTAGACAACCTCGCAGGCCATAAATCTGTATCACACTCTAAAACGTCCTCAAATGTCGAAGAACTTACCACGCAGAAAATTAAAACTTACTCGTTCAAATTGAAAATTAAAACTGCGTCAATGTGACTTGACAAACTGATTTAGCAAATAGCTAAGAGATAATGGGTAATTGGTGTAATTTGGCGTGGATTTAAAGAATTTTGGGGGAATTGGGCGTCGATTTTCGCTCGTTTCGAGCTAAGCAAGCATGGTTACAAAGTGGAAAAAGTATTGGAAGTAATGTTTTGAAAAATCATTTCAATACCTGAAAAATGGATTTGTTATTTAACATTAAAATGCAGAGATGTCAAAATTTAATAGGATTGAAAAGGGATATGTCCACTTTTCATTCGGAATCGTTTCCCATCTTCAAATCAAAGACATTCTCATAGTATAAATGCACATTTAAAAAACAGGTACGACGAGGAGCGTCATAGGCAAAAATAATTTTAACTGACATTTTTCCAAATGTTTCCCTTACACCTTTCCAACTGCTCCTCGTACATTTTCTTCCAATGCATCAAAAACTGATGGAATTTTGAGAAACACAATACAATGAATAAATTGGACATGAACTCATCAAGGAGTTTTGTACCATGAATGTATGCTTCGTGGATTATAAGGTGGTTGGTTAAAGCCTGACTTGGGATGCTTTTTAATTACCTTAAATTAAACAGAAATGATAAAATATTTAATTGTGCAATAATAATATTTTTATTATTAATAATAATGTATCAATTATATACATATTTATGCTATATTTACATACTTTTTGATTTGCGATTTCGATTTGTAGGACTATTTCAAAGTACAAAGTTTGGTACAATATGTACTTCAATACTGAATATGTATTTGAATGATATGAATCTAAATGGTATTGATATGTTTGCTTGCTTTACAATATGTCGGGTAAAATGATACTTGATGTAGTGTTGTGCTTTTGACTAAAAATAGACTAGACATCCATTGTTATATCATAATGGCGTTTGCTTATCTCTGAATGACACATGTACTATGATATAACCATAATTACAACCGTTAATGAGAAAATACAAATGGCCGAGGTGGCGCTCCGTAGGCTGTTGGAACAGAGTAAAATCCATAAGGGGTAATAATGGAGGTTGGCATTCTATTAATGTTATGATTCCCCAATACCCCAGCTCCAGGATGCGAAATAGGAGTAACGTGTCCCACCTGGGGAATCATTGTCCTTGCGGCCATCCTCAATTTCTCAAGTTCGGCTTCCTGTAGCCTTTTTGCCTTTGCTCTTCGGTTCTGGAACCAAATCTTAATCTGGGTCTCAGTCAAGTTCAAGGACGAAGCAAATTCTGCGCGTTCCGCAATGGATAGGTATTGTTTCTGTTGATATTTCTTTTCCAGTGCTAGAAGCTGGGATGTTGTGAAAGGCGTCCTTGGCTTCCTGTTGGGTTTGTGTTTGCGTAAGAGGCATCTATTGATTGGTGGAGAGATTCGCGATGTCGGTGACAAGCCTGGAAATATACAAATAAGAAAACATTAATATTTTTACTTTAAAATGATACATCAAAAATTAGTAAATCAAAGTGTTCATAGAAAAAACAATCAAAAATTATAAATTCCAGCAGGAAGTGACTGTCTGTGAAGTGTGAGTTCTCGATCATCATTTAAATTGTTTCAAAGTTGAGTTTATGTTATGGATAGCTGTAAGATATTGAGGAAGAACCACTTGAGAAACGGCGAAACAACAGAGAGATCAAAACCCACGATGTTCGCTTGCGTTTTGCGATTATCGGTATCAGTGCTGAGAAAACATGTAAACAAGCAATCGCCTTACACAGGAACTCAAGTTTGTTTTAATGTGTTTTCGATTGTGTTTTTATTAATTTGGAGCCAAAGACGGATTAACAGTGTAACTTTAAAGGCTTGAAGAGGCATCTGGTTTTTAGTTAAATTTCACTCAAGTGAATATCTTGACATATCTGCATATCGTTCTTTGGGATCGTCTACAAATTTAACCGCTTTAATTCCATCGGTTAAGGCCCCTCCTTTGATTTATCAATTCCGCTTGTTTTACGTTTGTTGATTGATTTTACAAATTCATAATACTCAACATATGAATTATGTATTTTGAATGGATTACAAAGTATCTGGTATCATACGAAGTGTTCAATAAAATGGTTTATGATGACAGAATTTATTTTGTTTTAATTTGCTATAATTAGTAATCTTGAAAGGTGAAACGGTACAAATGAGATAATTACAAGTAAACTGCGAAACAGACAAATTAATATAAATGGATACATTGTCTCGGTAAAATATTTTTTGATACCGATATTTAAGTTTATAAATAATCAATATGCGCTTTTATTTTCACCAATTCATCAAGGGTGTTCGGTGATTGAGTACGGAATAATTAATTACTGCATTGCATCTTGCAAACGAGATAATTTAATTAGGAGAAATGATAAAGTGATATATTTAGGTTATTGAAACGTATCCACTGTAATTAAAACCAATGAGTTAATCAGTCCGTATGATCTCCAAGACCATAGTTTCACCTAAGTCTAATATCATAAAAAATCATAAAATGTTTAATTGGTCGACATTATTTTGGATTAAAACGTGATAAAATGATCCTCAACAATGTTACATTTCTAAAGATGCAATTTCACAAATTGGATGAAGTTTTAGAATGACACGTCCAGGTGATTTGAAAAATAACACATCAATTATTTTCCCAAAGATTCGAATCATGAATTCTGTAAGAAACTTTGTAATATTATATTGTTGTTCTATTGTAACGTTTAATTATTCAACAACCATTTGACCCCCTTACGAAAGATAAGCAAATTAATTAATACAAGCTGAATCATGAATAATGATTAATAACCTTAATTAATTAACATATTTATATTTATTTGCATAGATAAGGCAATAAGATGGCTCATTCTTCACAACTGAATCACTGCTACTCAAAGAGAGCTAAAGACATCCAACATGAAAGTGAACCACTAAAAAAAACGGCCGCCAATTTACATCAATTAACTTCTTAAGTAGTGGCTTGTTTTATTCCCCAACAGGCATTATTTTGGCGACATGAAATCAGCCCCAAGAGACAACAGTTCTAGCTATCTCTGTAAAGCAGGCTGTAGAAGAACCAAGAGGGAATTGGAGTTAATTCGTCGTGTATTATTGTGACGAGAGAGTATCATCATTAAATAAGCTAGTTGTAATATTATACTAATTTTAACTCTCATTTCAGCCTTAGAAATAACTTAGGTTCCAGATAGGCATCTTGCTTGAGATTTTTGATTTTTTCACAGACAAGTAACAAATTGTAGAAACATCTGAGAAAATTTGGAGGCGTCAAGTGAAAACTAATCTTAGTTGTAAGTTGTTGTAGTGATATGTTTGTACTTGTGTTTGCACGCTAAAACACATAAATCTTAGATCAGATTTTCTGACAATACTCTCCGTTTGCTAAGATAAAACCTATTACAAATTGTTATATAAAAGCATTTTCTTTTATTTGTATAATTTGTACACTTTGTTTTTCTTGATTTATTAGGATAAACGCATACTTGCAAATCGTGGATTTTATATTATTTATAAAAAGGTTAATTTCACACCGATTGAACACGAAATGAAACTTATATACGTTATGTAAGTTATCTTAAACGAGTTATGTTCGTCCTTTGATTGTGTTTTACAAAGTTAGAATGGTTGCGATGAACCTCCCTGACATTAAAATATACAAAAGAAATGTTTTACATCGCTAGGGTAAAGAATATAATTTCAGTTTCCTCATCGTAGGGCATCTCTATAGATAAGAGGAAAATTTAACGTGCAATTCATTTATCTTTATTACTATGTTCATGTTATTTTTCAAAACTTGTCAGATGCTTTAAAGATAACAATAAAAACATTTATAACTATTTTAATACGCACCATTTTGTGGGTTATACTGTGGGATAGGTTTGCACGTATACGGGCTGAGTCGGTCGTGTGGAAGGCTGTGAGCGGGTGGGGGAATAGGAAGGCCCAGCGACGTACACACACCCAGGGGTTGCTGACTGCCGATTATTGATTTAACGCTGAACGGACTTCTTTGGGTCGCCACCGGGCTGGGAGTGCGGGATTCGTCGTCGGATACATCAGATGCTTCGTCGTCCGTGCTTCGAGTGACGTTCCCCATGATGGAATCAACGCTGAATGAGAGTGCTTTACGTTTCGGTTGCGGTGGTGGAGTCTCTGTAACGGGCGATGCCGGTCTTTTTGGTGCTCTTTTCACCACTTCATCTTGCGCAGTTAATGTGCCAACATTTGCGTCATCTTTTTGATCGCCCATTTTATGTTGATTCTTGTTATTATCTATTCTTATAAGTGTTTTCCTCCTAATTAATAACGAATTACTTTAACAAGTTTCAGTGTTCTTCTTGTATCAGTCAACAAGGTTTTTATCACTCGATATAACTTCTCAAATCTTCTTCACTATGTCAGTGTATAATATCACGTGTCTTTGCTTTGATGCTTTCTTAGCTACTGACTCCCTCCACACATCCTCGGAGTTTCATTTCTGTTGGTTACGACGAAATGTCACATTTATTTTGAAATACATTAATTTGTAATTTTCAAATAAAACGGTATTTTTTCTTTGACCAAAAGTCCATCTTTTAAAGTTTTGTTTTTGCCTTGATAACGCAAAATTAATATTCTTGTTTTCTTGCGGCTATAAATGTGTTTTTATTGTAAATAAAATTACAGAATCATTCACATTATCAAAGCCTGAAACCCATGTGATTGGTCGTCGTGGTGTATTTGAGGATTGCTCCTCTCTGATTGGCCAAGAAACTTGGCTGCCAATAAATCTCTGGTTCTTGCTTTCGCACTGTTAAACGCATAATTACCCATTAGTCTAATATGTTATCTCTACGTTTTCAGGGAAGGGCCATTTGGTTGCTACGTACTTTTTCTAGAATTTATTCAAATGAAAATAAAAGACAACGAGGACCAAAGAAAACGAACGCTGAAAGATGGAATTTAAACATTTATTGTTTTGATCATTTTCCTTGCTTCAAAATGAGCAAGCAGATTTGCATTAAATGATTTTATATTTTCAAATTGGAGATAATGTACCTTGTTATCGCATTATAGTTCCTGGTTCTTAAAAGTATAAAGATATTTCCCAACGATTACGCTATAATCGCGTTGACATCAGCCTAAAAAATAAGTTTTTTATATTCTGGTAAATTGTTTCAAATGGTTGGCCCTTGTAGACGGAGCCTGTTTGACTGAGTGGGCCGAACTCGCTATCACCAGTCAAGTATCTTAACAAAAGCATCATTATACCCATTAAACACATACTATAATTACAAGCAGACTTTAGTATCAATCTGAACAGTCAGACAGTATAAGTTGCATCCCATCAAAAGCGACCAATTTATAGAATCATAACGCTGTTTGAGAAGTCTATCGAACGGAATAAAGGCTCGTCGAAGCGAGAAATGGAGGTTTTTTCAACGGGGGCTTCCCGGGGAGTGATATATCGCTTGGGGTCTTCACTAAATAGAATCCCCCTAATAGAGTCAAGTGGGCTTACAGTGTGTGCACTGTAGGTTGTCAACCGGGCCACAAATTTGACGGGCCGAGTCGGTAGCAGGCGCCAGTGCTCGGTGGGATCAAAGTCGATATTCCCCCAACGTTCCTCAACCGCGGACTCCCGTGGGTACCTTGGGCGCTGGGGCTCTGAGCACGGATATCACTTACATCAAACATTCGATCTAATTTAAAAAGTCTTTCTTGTTTTTCAGCCTGTACACCCCAATTAGATGAACTTAGGATAAGATAGAAAAAGCAGGTACGCTGGATAGCTTTGGGGACATAGATAATAAGTTTACAATTGGAGACACCAATAACTTAAATTAAGCATGATATCTCGTTAATGCGATACTACAACTTGTTGACTCCTAACAAACTTCAAAACACATCACGCGATTTGCCGAAATTCCGAACAACGTTTTTATTAGTTTATTGAAGCTATTATTGACATTTTTAGTCTATATTGAAATGCAACTACAATGAATAATATGATACACAACGTCGTCGTTTCTTGTAGGTCGAAGAGTATACCACTTGAAATACTAATTCATTTGGGAGTCAATAGCCAATATTATCCAGGGAATCTCTCTGATAACGTTATTGCCACCCAACCGTCATATGACGTGACGTAATGTTGTTATGTTATGACGTTATATCGTAATATTATAACAGTGCATGTGTTAAGAGACTAGACTTCTCCGAGATGGCATCGGGGACGGCGTCGAAGTTTCCGCTTACCGGCAGACCAATATCTCCGTAACCAGGCTGACTTTACCCGGGCTTAATGACATACTTAACATCTAAAACAGTTTTCGACAAAATATTGAATACATACTTTCTATATTTTCATTTACAAAGCATCTGAGCCAAGTTTTAAAGGTTGGCACGATTATTAGACGAAATAGCCGTCGTGGTCGCTTAATAGTACTTTTTATCAACTCGTATAATTCATGCAATTAAGTTATTAACTTCTAGTAAAAAGATTGACCTTTTAAATTACTTCACATCAAAGTGCTGAAGAAAAGATATCTTTACCCAGGGGACTCAATATTGCGTGCGAAAAGCAACATAACCTTTCAAAATGAAAAATTAAATGTTTTTTAAACATCTTAGTCAATTTTACACTTAATAAACATCCAATGAGACAATTTTAAACCATGTGTCGATCTTATCTTCTACTTCAAAGCAATATGTCCTCTTTTTACATTCCTTTTATTATTAAGGCTCATCATTGGGATGTCGTGACGTTTGATGAACATGTATTGCATAGTGGAAGATTGTAAACCTATAATTATCTCATAACATTTAAATAGCTTAATTACTTATTGGAAGTCAAATTACAATCATATCTTTAATACTGTCTCATCGTACTGTTTTACTGTCAATATTTGCATTTTAAATGGGAACTTCACTTTTATTGATGCAATAACTAAAACGATAAAATTAACCCCCTTCTAGTAAACAGTTATTTCACCTTTAGAAGAAACGATTAATTATTCTAGCATTATCTTTGATATAGGTCATAAAACAGTGTTCTTCTCGGTACAAAATCAACTTTCTAAGGATGTATTGTCATTTTTGTATTTCTAATGACTTGGGATGCTGATTAACTTTCTTCCTTAATAACTGAAAATTAACATGTTTAAATTTTTTGGACACTAAATAATTTCAAGGAGCGGAAAAATATTGTATGCGGCTAATATCATCCTTGGTCCAAGTGTATTTCACTTCTTTCCATAATTTCCATTTCAATGAATTTAAGCATAAATGAAGTCCTTTGAAGATTATTAGAAGGTTATTCTATCATGTATTATAAAATGTTTGGAAAACGCCATTAACTACTACGGTCACCTGGGAAGGAGAGGACAACACTATCATGAAATTAGGACTGTTACGTTAGTAAACAATCAATATCTAACACTAAGGCTACCTTCTTGTCTTAATTTTAATAACTTGATGTTATAATTGGCTAAACAGGTATAAAATCAAGATAAGGAGAAATACAATGTTTATGTAACTGAAGACTTAACTGCTAAATGTTCTCTAAATGATTTCATGTTGTCTTGAGGTAATAATCAATCATCTGAGATCCAGAATGAAATATTTGGGCGCACGACCTTGACCTTTTAATCAGAATAAATCGCATTTCTCAGGCTGTCATGGAAAAGTAAGCAACAAGTTTGTCTTGCTTATCGCCCCACTCTGTCAGAAATGTCATATTATAGTAATTTGGACATAAGGCCATCGTGTTCTACTCTCTTTCTGTCTATATGGCAAGCAACTTGTCTGTGAGGGCACTTAAGAATTTATATAGACATAACTGGAGACAAACTTAGCGACTTTAATTAAATTCACCCTTTTCATCATTTTAATTGATTAAGCCTAACAGCTCACAAGTTAATGATTACATGTTGTTATACCTTTTGAATTTCTTTCGAAATCGAAATGTACTTTTAATGTTAAGGTTTACTTAGGATGATTGAATAAACGTTTTTCTCCACCCTAAGATTTTATCACGAATCGTATACTCAGCAGTTTGTTGATGTTTAAAACATATCAAATCTACCTATATTTTTTATATATTTTTATTATCGATTATGAGTGTATGAAATTTCTGTTGTGTTTTTGTATTGTCGCAATCTCATTACGACCAGGAACAGCTGAAGTGTAAGATAAGGATAGTGGTAGTAGTGCATAAAATCATGTTTTCAAGACAGATTTAGAAAAATTACTAAACGTTCAAACCAACAACTAGAGAAGCCAAACAAACTCAGTTACAGATCACTTCGTTTGTCTCTACTTAACTTGAAATATTGAGGCACAGATACACCAAAATATCATATATTCTGTGAAAATTCTTTCAAATTTAAAGGATCATTGAAAACCTCTACTTCGACAGCGATTATGTCAGTCAATTTTTGAGGAACTGTCTTACATCCGTTATTGCATCCAACAAAATGATTTATATAATATCCGAGAACGTTCTCAAAAAAGTATAATGGCCGCTGATTTACCCCACGTTATATTCTTATCTTTAGAATCTCTGCGAAGTTCGTAGGGACATAGAAAAGGCGTCCATCCGTGTGTTCGTCCGTCCGTTGGTTCGTTTGTCCGGACAATAACACAAATACCGGTTGACGGATTTGATTCAAATTGAATTGGCTTATGCCTTATGTAATCTTTGATATCTCAGATACTAGTTGATGGATTTGGTTAAAATTGTATATGCTGATGCCTTGGGCAAAGAAGCTTAACTTAAGAAGACATTTTCAAGATAGCCACTGAATTACAAAATGGCCGCCTATTTTCAAATACAGTGGAAAGATTTGGTTCAAATTTTATATGCTGATCCCTGAGGGAAAAAAGGCTTGCTCAAGAGGAAACTTTTAAGATGGCCACTGAATTTTTAGCTACTGTTTTTTCTTCAAAAACTTAGTCTTTGATAACTAAAACACCAGTGCGCAGATTTGGTTCAGATTTAAATGACGATGCCGATGAACAAATGAGCTCTGCTTGAGAAGAAATTTTCGAGATGACAGCTGATTTTCAAAATGACCATTTTTATTAAAAACCCAAATCGTTGATAACTCAAATATCATTGGACAGATTTGATTCAAATGTTTGATCCCGATAAATTTTGTGTTCCAAGAAGAAATTTCCAAGATGGCCGCTCTTTATCAAAACTTGTTTTGTTTGGTGGGATTTGCTACTCCGTCGAGTTTGTGTTTTCAAGTCTCATGCTTGAGAGAAGTAGTAAAGGCTGTGATCCGGCAATGCCCGCGTTATGTTCTGTAAAATGATGAAATTTCGGGCAGCACCGGGTTTCAACTGCAGGATTGTCATATTTGTAGTTAGTTTACGCGTACATGGTGCTTAACCCGCGATCTGGTTATGCGTTCCCGCTGCCTCAGAATATTTCCTATTGTTTCTTGGTTAGCATTTAGACATT